TGGTGGGCTTGGCCTTGCTCGCCCTTTTCCAGGTTCCTCTTGGGCGATGCTGGCGGTGGATTCTCTCCTGTAATCAGCTCTTCAGATTCATCACTTCTCTCACTTCTTCTTCTTCTTGTGACTCCTTTTCCTCGACTGCTTGAGCTACTGCTTGATGATCCAACATGTCCTTCACCTGGATCTTCATCCATGTCTTGTTCAGTCTCACTTGGCGGATCTGATGCCGCTTCTTGACTTGGACTATAATCTTTCAGCTCATCTTCCTGTTCTTGACTTCTTTCTTTTCTTGGAACAACTTCTGGCTTGTCACCAATTGCCACTTCGACTCCACTATGTGGTGGCAATCTCTTCGTGGATTTCCTTCCTACCAACGTATCCTGTGTGTAGTTCCACGGTGTTCCTGTAGCTTCTGCTAGCACTTCAACATCGTAACGCGGTGTACACTGTCTCATCGTTCTGCACTTGATGATTCCTTGTCTTGTGCTAACTAGGTTCAAGTTGCTCACTGAATCCTTTCCAACGAAAATTCCTTTTCTCCATGATTCACCTTTCTCTTTGACTTTTGGTACTGGCTTTGCTAAAACGACACTTCCCCACGGCGCTAATGTTCCTTTGTACTCTCTGTCGAATAGCACTTCAAAAGGTGTTGATCCTTTCCTTACAACAAACCTATTCAGCAGGAATGCTGCGTGCCTAGCTGACCATGGATATAGCGTACTTTCCGACGTAATCTTCACCCTCGCTTGCGATTCAACGCCGTACACTAGTGTCTTAGATAAGTTCCGAACTGTTTGAACCCATCTTTCAACTTGCAATCCTTGATGCTCATCTTCCTTGATGCTCATCTGGTGCTACGTCTTGTATCTCTGTGTCGAGATTCTTCATTTTCCTTATTCCTTGCACCTTCTTTCTCAGCGATATCATTGCTGGCTCTGTGTCAGTTCTCAGAATGACCTTCGAATTCAACAGCATAAGCACTCTACAGACTTCTTCCACAACATATGCCGTTGCTTCTTTTGTCGCTACTGGAATCACATGAACGAACTTTGTTGCTTCATCAACCATAACAAGTCCGATTGTCAATGCATCCTTGTTGTCCTTTGTATTCTCTTCATCTCGCGTTCCAGTGAATTTGAATCCATTGAAACCAATGATGCTTCATTCTTCTTCTCTGACACATCGAAATTGTCTTCTCTTGACCTTGTTGCTTGACAACTTTCACACCAATCAGCTTTCGGTAGGTGTGTCAATTCGTGCTTCTTCCTCTCTTCTTCTGTTGGCATCTCTGGTCTCTTTTCTCCTTTTGGTTCTCTCGTAAATTCCAGTTCTAATCCTTTGGAGATTTCAACCAACTCTTTTATCTTGTTTGCTGACACGGCTTGCTTCAGTCGTTGCCATAACTGAGCCTTACTTCCAGTCTCTCCTACCTTCAGGAATTCAAATGCTGTTCTGAGTTGCTTGAGCGTACTTTCTGGTGTAAGCTCAACTCCTGCTACCACCATTGCTTCTTCCATCTTCTCTCCCACACTTGGTAGCTGATCTTCAATTTTCTTCCACTCTTTCATTTCCTCTTCTGCTGGAGGTTCACTTGGAAACAAGTTTTCCATAGCTTCTCTGCTCTCCTCTGCAATTTGTTCAACAGTTTTCTTCGTACTGCTTTTCTCCTTGGGGGATGTGCTCTCTTCTACTTTCTCCATCTCCACGTCTGCTGCTTCTTCTTCATTTCTTTTCTTCTTCTTGGGTGTCCTCTCATAGTCACCATACTCTTCAAGACCTAAAGACTTCCTCTCTAAGATCGTGATAACAACTGAATTCTCTTCAACTGCATCAATCACAATCTCCTCTCGGTCTTTCCACTTTTCGGCACACTCCACGAACTCCAGTTCGCTCCATACGATGTCTTCACCATCGTACCTCGATACCAAAGTAGTTCTGTACTTGAACGTTGTAACGTCGTCATTCGTGGGATCGTAAGTTGTGTACTTGTCCCAGTCTATCCTTGCTGGCTTCCCATCTGACATGAAAAACCATCCTTCATGATACTTCATCTTCTCGAAGTCTTCTTCCATCTGCTTGATCAGCGTGAGCTTTCTCACTTGTGGTTCATCCTTTTCAACCTTCACTTGAGCTCTGTAAATCTTGAGGTCTGTCACTGTTGAGTTTCTTGCAAACCTCACTGGTACTTTTGCAGATCCTTTCTTCAGATAAGCATTGAACTGGTCTAGAGGATCAAGTCCCCATCCCACTTTCCACAACTTGCCGACTGCAAATAGTGGTTGTGTTACATCTCCGAACACAGCCGAATCTCGTACCTTTATCACTCTTCCATCTGTCCTTTGAAACTCGAATGTGATGTTTGCTCTTGTTTCTGTTGTTCTTGTTCTGTTGCCTTGGGCATCTTGAATAACCATTCTCAAAGCTGGGAACTCAACTGTTCCTAAGTCTTCACTGTAGTAGCATAGCGGAAGCACATGACAATCCGCGCCACCGTCCAGGACTACTTCAACGAGTTCTGAATAGCTTGAGTTAACGGTCCTCACATAATGCCTTTGGTTTGATCTTTCTTCTGGTCCTTGATCTAATCGAGCTTCTGTCTCTGACTCTTCATCACTTCCGAAAAGTCTTTCTCTCTCTCTTGCATGCCTGGCATTCTCCTTGTCTACATGCAAATCTTCATACCACTTGTGAAGTTCATCTCTTTCATAATCTTCTTCATCACTTCCATCAGTCATGCTTGACCATAACACCACTGTGTGAACTCTTGCTGTTCTTGCAGCGTAATCCATCACCATCTCTTCAAACATTCCTACAAGATCAATGTAGTCTTCATCCTCTTCGAGGATCTCTTCAATCACCGGCATAGGTGTTGTCACCAACCTACGCACTTGCTCGCTTCCTTTTGCTCCTTGTGGTGCTCTTGCTTGTGACTGCGTAGAAGAACTTGGTTGCTCTTCATACCATTCTTCCTCACCTGTCTCTTGGACATTCCGAATCTTTCCTTTTCCACCTTTTCCTTTACCCTTTGGTGCCGACCAACACTCCGAAGAGTAATGTCCGGTCTTACCGCAATTGAAACATACAGGTCCAGCCTGTCCACCTTTGCCTTTTGCGTTTTCGTAGCCTTTTCCTTCAGCCTGCCTGATACTCTTTCCAAATCCTTTCTTTCCTCCTTTTCCTTTGCCATAACCTCTTCCTTTTCCTTTTGCTTTTCCTCTGCCACCTTTTCCTTTTCCATATCCTTTTCCTTTTCCTTTGTCTCCTTTGCCTTTGCCGTAAGGACTTCCTTTTCCTTTATCACCTTTACCTTTTCCATCTCCTTTACCTTTTCTCAAATGCAATCTGTCAAGTTCCATCGGGATTGGTCCTTGGTAAGCCTTGTTGCTTGAGTGTGACGTTGGGTCTGGAACACTCAGCGATCCTAAGATGTTTTCAGCTGACCATGTCTGATTGCTTCTTTCATACTGTAGCAGCTTTGTTCTCAACTCTTCATATGTGGTCTTATCAGTGATATCAACCATCACGTGGTGCTTGAGGTGCTGTGGAATTCCTTTCAGCAGTGTACCGATCTTCAAGTTGTCATCGTACTTCTGTCCTGAGAGTTTTTCGTACTCTGCTGTGAGCTTCTCATACGTCAAGACGTAATCCATCAGCGATGCTCCTTTGCTCATGGCCGGGAATCCAACCAACGCTTGAGCCATTGCTAAACTCCTTGAACGGGACGTCGGCTCTAACTCAGCCGTCAACTTTCTCCACACTTCAAATCCATTCATCCCGCTTACGCTTCTCAGCGCTTTCAGAGGTCTGTTCTTCAGGTAACTGCTTAACACTGAGTAAAGCTTTGTTCCTCTGTTCACTCTTGCTATCTCGCGATTGAAGAATGAGTTTGTCACCTCTGTGCTTATCTCCACTTTTTCTTCTTCTGCTTTCTTCAAATCACTCAGGAATTCTTGGTCCATGAATGCTAAGAAGTTCTTGAACGTAAACGCCCAGTCGCTCCATTGCGACACTTCTTCTTCAATTGTTGCTGGATTGAACACTTCTGGTGGCTTGAGAATCTTTCCTCCTGTATCAAAGCTTACTGAGGCCGGTCGGTTTTTTCTGTTGGGCCCGCCGCTGGTGCTGCTTGGGCTCTTGCTAGCTCATTCATGGCGTTAGCCAATTGTGCTTGCTGGTTCGCAGTGCCCTGCGCAACTCTTGCCATAGCTTCTGTAGCTTGACCCAAATTGTTCATCAGCTGCTCGAACCTCGCTTGCTGCCCCTGCTGAGGATTCACGGGCTGCTGAGGTTGTTGAGGTTGCTGCGCTTGTTGCTCCATCTTTCCAACACTTTGGCAGGTCTGTTTGTAACTGGCTCAAGGTCTTTCACTTCCACGTTTTCTTTCACCAATGCAAGGTGCTCTTGGCTTTGCCGTAACTCCTCGCTTCTTCTTTCTTTCCAACTTTAGCAAGATGCTCTTGGTTAAACCGTAACTTCTCGCTTTCCTTTGATCTTTGTTCGATCGCCCTGGATCCTTGCTGTTCAGCTGCTGGCCTTTGCCAACAGCTCCGCTACCATGAAAATTTAAACCCTTATACCAGTATACTTCTTATAACCACGGCGCGAGCTTCGGATTCTTTTCTCACTCTGAGCTCCGCTGTTGGGCTGTGCTTGAGCCTAGGTTTGACCTTCGGTGAAACACTGGATTCCTGTATGTAAATGTACATGAGGGAAAATTGACCTATCTGTTATACTGCCTACGGCAGAAGTCACATGCCACCATGTAGTGGCGCAGCACTCATTTTTCCCTGTGCACGCCAGGATTGGTTTGAAGATGGAGCACCCATCTATAGTGAAACCTCTTGAGATTAAAAGAGGGAATCGGATGTCGTATATAAAGCTGCTTGCCGGCGCAAGCTCGTGGATCGATCAACAAATGCCTGCCGGCACAAGCATCGAGATGCGACCCCTTACCTGCCAAAGAAAAGCAGGTTACGACACCCCTTTCACGTTTCCAACCTGGCTTACGCCGTTTGAAGAATCTGAGCAGCAGTAGTTGCGAGGCAAACCTGATCATTGTTGAGACGCAAATGTGCAACCATCACTGTTGCATCCTGCAGGTACACGCGCGCGGATGACGTCGAAGACCATCTTCCCCGCAGTAGCGTTCTTTCCATGCTTTGGTGGGAAAGGAAATCCCAAGTGGCACCACCACGCCTAAGCGAGTACACGTTCAACAGCAAGCCCTCTAGAGAGAAGGCACAAAGGAAGAGCTTAAAGCATTTGCGAAAGTGATCCGCGCCCTTGCGCAGGAGAGGCTCACGAAAGGGTCTGTTTCTGCAAGCCACGCGCAACCAGTTGACGGCCACCACGCTGTTGATGACGACCATCTCTTCTTTACCCGTTCGTTTGCCACTCTTGGTAAGACCCAACCTAAGTACGGCGTGCTGACGATAAAAGGTCACATCACCGACGGCCAAAGTGTAGAGCTCACCACTCCGCAGCATGCCGTCAAAACAGATAAGCAGTCCAGCAGAGACATCTGGCATGCAAAGCCTCGCCGCCAAACCTGCCATTCCCAAGAGTATCAGAGGGCTCATCGGCAGGACTCGCATGGGCGGCTCCACTTTCTGCCAGACCTTGAGCAGCTTCCAACTTTGACGCAACCGGCCAATGCACCGGGGCAGGAAGTGTTGGATGCCGGCAAGCCCATCGCTTGCAAGGCCTTTTCGCTGCCCATCGGCGTAAAGAAACTCTAACCAGGCGCAGGCCGCATCATCAAATTGCGAAATACGTTGTATGACAAGACTTGAGTCAGCCATAAAAGTCAAAAACGCAAGCACTGCATGGGAGTATCTCTGCGACATCGCTGGCGAGACTTGCTGCTCTCTCAAAGTGAGATTGGGCCTGGCCTTCGGCCGGGCTTCTCGCACCATCGGCTGGGAATGTCGGCCGGATTGTTCCCCGTGTCGACATAAGCTACAGTAAGGTAGAGCCCTGCAGCGAGACAAACAGCGTTCAGGGATTGCAGGGACCTTCTGAGCTTTCCACTGCTAGTACGGCCCTTTGCAATGATGGCACAAACAACTTGCGAGTCAATCAACACTAAAGCGCGATGACAGCAATTACTGGCACGCCTGACACGCCACTTGACTGAGTTGATGTGTGCGGGGTGCGCCCACGAGTAACCATGAATAATGGCCCACTGGAAAAGAGAACTCTGAACACCACTTCGCGGCCACGCCTTTGCACGAAATGGCACCCCAACGTCGAGGCGCACATCAGTCCCCCCGCGCTCTGCAACTCTCAGGGAATGGGAGACCAAATTGCTGACTTCTTTTGTGGGTTCGCTTTGTTTGACAAATGACGGTCGTTGGGTCCACGATTTGGGAGCAACTCCCCGACTGAAGAAATCGGATTTCAACCTGTTGCGAGAACCTGCATATGAAAAGAAGAGCTCATCAAGAATGACCATGACAACAAAAACGTTGAACGCGCCACCAAGTAATTGTCCGCCTCTCAGTTCGCGATCAGCTCCCGTTGAATCTTGGGTGAATGCCTTCACTGATTATAATGATCGTCGAAGCCCATTAGCTTTTCCCATTCCACCAGTTTCAAAAGCCTCAAAGAACCATCAGCATTAGTAATCATGTGCTCGCTCTCATAATGCTTCACTGGCAACTTGTACGAGTCAGCAGCCCAACGTGCCTTTGCCAGCTCGGACGCTTCATCCAAGCCTGAGGCTGCACGAGGGATGCTGCGCCGAGGAGTGGGCGAACTGTAATCGGGTAGCAAAATGCCATCCTGTGACAGCCATTGCCCCTCTCCATCGACCCATGATTGCTTATGCTCACGCGTTCCCCCCAGGCGCCACTCAAGACAATCACCTGAGTCATGCAAAGTTTCATCACCCACAGCCGTCACTGCCCATGTCAGCCAGAACAACCTGGGCCTGCGCATCCAGCTCAAGTGTTTTGCATCAACGAGGAGAGGCTTATGTTGCAGTGCATGGTTGAACACATCCAGACTTTCGCGACTGAGGGGGAACATCGCTTCGATCAAGGATTCCACGGGCACTGAAAAGGCCTGCCTTGACAGGAATTCCACCCGCTTGATTTCTTTCAACCAAATGTCTGCTTGCTCGTAATCGGAGGTTGGGCATCCTGCACTCAACAGAACAAGGTCCAGGCGGTAGCCAATCGAACCCGCAAGTTGGTCAATGACCTTGGTGGTGATCTTCCGTATGTCCCCTAGCTCAATGATGCCAGGCCATCGTGTACGGGTGAGTCGCATGCAATCCTTATCGATTTCAGAAGAGGCATACCCCCGCACCATGAGGGGCAAGCGAGTCGCAGCGCACATGATGGATCCCACCCCATCGAAGAGGGAAACCACCAACACACGGGGGCCTGTGTTGATACTCCCTCCAATGCTGCCTTGAGGTCTGAAGAATTCACCATCCACACCACCCCAGCTCAGCTCGTTCAAGCATTGTTCACCCCATGCGGTCAAACCTGAGGATGCACACATTCCTCCTCCCAGGGTAGAGGCATCTGAGCAGGTAACCAGCCCCGACACTGGAGTGCGCAGAAGAGCACAGGCAAGGGGCAACAGCCCCGCTGCTTTCAAAAGCTCCTCCGCCTTCCCCGATGTAAGCTTTCGTGGCCGACACCACATGGACTTGGGCCATGAAACGTTCAATAAACCCATCAGTGGTCGCCGAAACTCAAAGCAACGAGTGAACCTGCCCAACAAAACCATCAGCATTCTAGGGCTCACCACTGGTTTTGCCAGCATCCAAATGGTTAACCAGCCAACCTCCAGCATCTTTTCCGTTGGCGCTGACAACCGGCCTTCAACACCATCAATTTCAGCGCCCATCCTTGTAACACAGGGTTCACGAATGTGTTCTTTTTTCCGTGAAATCCCCACGCCCACGGGATCATAGGCGGCCCGTTGCTTAGCATGAACAGGTGAAAGTGTGCCAACCATGGATTTCCATGTGTGTCGCGATACCTTTTCGGGGCAATCGAAATTGTCAAGGTAGTACTGGTACCAAGTCCCGCCTTGCTCCACAGCACCTTTGGGGACTGGTCGATCACGTCGCCACTCGCCTGCAGGGTCAAGCCCTGCACCGGACGGCGGGGGCGAAAGGCCCACACGCCGATGAAGGTGTTGGAACAAAGTCACCGCATTTAGCCAACCGCCAACCCATTGGGATCACAGCCGCGGCAACATAAATGGTTTCCACATCGGGACGGCCCACGATTTCCCCCGGAACGGGCATCTTGAACGTCATCAATCCCCTCCAAGCCCCCGGCAATCGCCAGGCGTAAAAGGCGCCCTTTTGGTCATCCCCGCTCCAAAGCAAAACCTCAATCTGAAGTCATGAGGCGCTGCAAACTGTTGGATGGTACCAAATTCATGATAAGGCGAGTGATCCGAGACTCCCCCGGAGAGGGGGTGCCACTCTTCTCCACAGCGAACACCCCATTCAATACGGGCTCCCCCCGCACGTGAAACACCTGATCCAAACTGACATCAACTTGCCGTGCACGGGCTAACTCATCAAACTTCCCTGGAGGTCTCTCCTCCAGGGCACGGCGAGACCACCACTCGCACTGCCTCCCGAGGAACTCTAGCGCTTCCCCTGACTTTTCAGGGGCACTTGTTCACTCGCCGGCGCGAGCCGTTCCCAACCCGTGGCTTCAGCATTGAGAATCATAACCCCCAACAATCGCCAAGTCTGAACGCAAGCTGCATGGGAAAGCTTCTTCAGCTGCTGCCGCCCCACCTGTTTGGTGATTGAAGGATTCCATAACACCAGTCCTGAGGCAGGGCACTTTAGCATCCGAGCCAACTTAAGGGTAGCACCAAAGGCAGGCAAGGGCAATGGAAGTAAGTCACGCTGCCTACCGAACGTCATGCATAAAGGTGGCCCTTTGCAATCTCGCGTGCAACGCTCAAGAATCTTTGAAACATCTCTCCACGAGTGGTGCTGGCCCACGGATGCCACAAGAAGCTGAAGCAAGGATAGCCCAAGTTGCAGCCTATTTTGTGTAACAACATTGGCCATGATAAGCTGTGCCACTTTATCCACCGGCACCCCCGGCCCAGCATCATCGTCTTAAAAAATTCCCGCAGAGCTACTCTGCGGGAGGCCCCCGTCTCAGCCGATCGAATATGCGGTTCTTCCACTGGGTCCGGCTCTCTCGAGGGGTCCTGGGTAGCCCTTCGAGGATCCCAAGAGGTAGCCCGGTCTCAGCACGTCGCAGGAACTCTCTATCCGGATCCCCAGCTATCTCCAGGATGACACGAAGTAGCCGAAGACGTAGAGGCTGTCCTTCTATAGTGGGGCCCTTGCAGATAGAATATTTCCAGGTAGAGCGTTTGGCCCGTTTGGACCCTCAAACAGGCATTTTAACCAAAAATTTAGGCAAGTAGCAGCAATTGCAGATAGAATATTTTCGAGCGGTAAAAACGATGCAGATAGAATATTTTGGCCAATTTAGGCAAAACCGCAGCCCTTGCAGATAGAATATTTTTGTTCAATGTGAGACCAGCGATCCGCGCGTGCAGATAGAATATTTCCATCCGTGTATACATGTAGACCTACATATATACAGTGACCTGCCCATGTGAACGGCAGCGGGACATGTGCGGCCACTGCTGGGGACCCGGTCCTTTCAGGGTTTGGTGTTTATGTATATAGGACTCGATTCTTTTACATAGTGGGTGCCGATCGGCGCCCTACTAGGGTTGACAGGTGCCGAGCGGCGCCTTAGTAGGGTTGACAGGTGCCGAACGGCGCCTTGTCAGGAAGGTGCCGAGTGGCGCCTGGTCTTTGGGTGCCGACGGCGCCCGGTATATAGAAGATATACTATATACCACATATACATATGTATATATATATATATATACATACTACTATACCACTGTATGTGGTACGGCTAAGGTCTTGTAAATAAAGGTACATACTTGAACATCAAAATGAAGGCCACACGGTGCCTCCAGGAACCTAGCCCTGCCCTCGGTGTGACACCAAGAAAGGGGAAGGGTTCAGAAGACACGTGTCCACGGTGCAGCCCTGAAGCAACAGCTTTGCGATCTCGGGCTCGCGGCTTTTGGAGTCCATGTCCTCCGAGACGTGAAGAGCAAAGTTAGATATTCTTGTGAATACTGCGCCTTGCATCTGCAAGCACCCCCTCATGCACTTTTTCACAGAAGCGAAAGGCAAGACAACACAGCCATGTCACAAGATTCAAGCTCGAGTCCTCCCTTTTTGGATCCCACCGAGAGGTCCGGTGTGCCACCAGTCCTCCGTTTAGGCCACCCCCAACGGGCGCATTAGCGCATCGCCCCGCTGTCATCGGGCTACGGCGCATTGGCCCCAAGGGTGGCTGCCACAGTGGCTAAAGCCCCGATGCAGGCCAACGCCACAGTGGCCAAGCATATAGCTCGGCGGATCACTGCCAACAACGGCCAACAAGGTGGAACCTGGCAGGTCTCTAGGACCCCCTCAGCTCAGGTTTAGGTCGAGATCGGGCGCGGCATCATCGCCACGCACACAACCAACACTATAGCACTGCGGATCAAACCATTATTCGCAACTGCTGCCACCAACCACTGAAAGGGCAGATGAAGGCACCACGAAACCTCGCAAAAGCCCACGGACTCTTCAGGAGCCTCTATGAATACGGAATGATGTATAGATTCTTCCGGCAGCGACATACTGGAAACTCACCCCTTCTTATGATAAATTTTCTGCAAGCGTGGCATGTCGCTTCCTCTTGCAGCACAAACACCCGATGCGCAGTATGTCATTGTTGCATTTCCTCCTGCATCGTCACGATGCAGCGATTCTCCATGGTCGAGAAACATTGTTGACACGTGTGGCCATGAGGTGATAGCGACTGTTCTCTAGCGCCTTCCAAGCCTAAACCCAAAAGGGGAGGCTTTGGCTAGGCTTCAAGGGCAAGGGCCTTTTCCCTGACCCTGCCTCACTTTTTGGTTGCTCTTCTTTGCCCGCGCTCACCAACCATGAGCAGCCGTTGTAGATAGAATATTTTTGGGCCCGTGGGCCCTTCCAAGCCTTGTCGCTGCCTTTTCGGAAGAATACATCACCCCTCTATATAGGAGCTACTGAAAAGGCTTTTGGGCTTTTGCAGGGCCTCGTGGTGCCTTCATTTGCCCTTTCAGTGGTTAGGGGCAGCAGTTGCAGATGGAATACTTCTGGGTGGGGTGGCTTTCCAAGCTTAAACCCTAAACCCGAAAGGGGAGGCTTTGGCTAGGCTTCAAGGGCAAGGTCAGGGAAAAGGCCCTTGCCTCTTTGGTTGCCTACCCAATCTACGGGCTTCTCCTCTTCTTTGCCCGCGCTCACAAACCATGAGCAGCCGTTGCAGATAGAATATTTTTGGGCCCGTGGGCTATCCCTGTCGGCTTGAGCGCTAGCCCGGTGGGGAGCACAGCTCTCTCGCTGTGTTCCGACCAATAGCTTCTCGCCACGATCGGCACCCCTGCCTTCGCCAGCAGGCCGGCGGTAGCCACCATCGCATCTGCATAGGTAGCCATCTTCTTCTCCAGCTGGCCGTTCTCCTTTAAGCCGGGGCATCAGGTCGTCCCGGGGGTAGCCAGCGTAGCCCTTCAGGAGGTGGAAGCCCTCACTTAGCCAGGCCTGCTCCTCGAAGTAGGCCTTCTCCGAGACGCAGACCGGCAGCTCCTTTATCCGACGGTTAGCCCCCGTGGTCTTCGTCCTCCGCAAGATCGTTGTTAGCCTTCCGTCGCGCAGAATTATCTCCTGCAGGATCATAGCCTGGAGGTCCGACCAGCGGAGACTAGCCCAGACCTTGACCAGCTTGGCCCAGGCCCATATCCTCCAGCCAATGCCCTTGAACTATCCAGCACTATCCTCTCCCAACGTGCCAACACGGCCGCCGCATAGCGGGGGCCCTCTTGGTCCAAGGGACCTTCCAGGATAGCCTCTCCACGATCCTGTGTCCTGGCTCAAACTCCACTGCCCTCTCCGTCCATGGCCTTGAGGATACCTGTGGTACTGTCCTACCACAAGGCTCATCGCCCCTCGCCAGCATGTCCGCTACTCATGCGGGGGAGAGGCCCCCTTAGCCTGATCTAGCCAGAGTCGCCAGCGCCCGAAGATCGTCACGTAGCGCTTGAGGGTGGTGGCCTTGTCTTGCCCGCTAGCAAGAGGACTGCTCTGGGTCAAGGCTCCCCTTAACCTTCTCCAGCAGATCTCCAGCTCATCCCTGAGCTTAGCCGTCCAGACGCCCAGTAACCCAGTAGCCTTTCCTCTCTCGCCTGCTGAGCCTGCTGCAGGGCCCCCTGCTCGACCAGCTTCTTCTGCCGCTCGCCTCTCGGGTTCTGGTTCACTATCCTCCTGCAGGTCGTTGCCCTCTATCCCGAGGCGCTTCCCCAAAAACATCCAGACAAGATCGGGGGCCCTTAGCCCTTGGACCCATCTCTCCAGGTCCGCGGCCTCGCGGGCCTCCTGTATCCATGGCAGGTAGTCGGAGTTGCCCAGATCCAACTTGTGCGCTTGCTGTCCCACCTCCGAGCACGCAGAGGCTATAGTAGTAGCCGGGGAGCGCGGGGAGGATGCCATTTCGCGTGGCTCCCAGCCACGTTTGCTTTCCTACTTCAACTTTATCCAGAATGGCCACGGAAGTGGACAAGGCTCCTCGCCATTCCAAGTCAAGCTATCCAAGCCTTGCAAGCTGACGCACACAGCAAGAGCAATAGATAGCAATAGAAACTTCGTTTCTAGCCGAAACACCTACGATGGTTTCGGTGGGAAGATTATCGGGCTAGCACACATAGTCGTAACTCGTTCCTCGTCACGAGGTACGAGAAAAGCATCTTCCTATGAAATGACGAATGCTCAAAGTGGATACCTTCTTATGAAAGAAGCATTCCGTGAAACACTCGATCAGTTCAGTCGACGAACTCAATATCAGCATCCCAGGGTCGATCACGGTGTTCACCATCCCAACGATAATTGTCCAATCGGTGAATTGGAACAATCGGTGCATGACGAACACGATCCTATGGTCGAACTTCTGGGAACCAGGGCTCTTCCAAAGGTTGTGGACCAGGACCGGCGTCGTCAAGAGGGACTTCGTCGATATAATCGTCCATATCCACATCAGAACCAGAACCTAGTCAGTGCTTCCCTTTGGCCTTGCCCTTGTTCTTGCCCTTGGACTTGCCTTTGTCGGTGTCCTTGCCTGTTCCTTTGGAGGACTTGCCTCCTTTGCCGCCTTCTTTGCCACCAGGAGGTTGCGCGGGTTCTGGAGTTTGGAGGACGTTGAGAACCAGAAGAAGTTGCACCTGAAGCTCCCTGTCCCTGAGGAAGCCTGCTCCTTGTGGTGCGGCAGACGAGGCACCAGCAGAACCAGACCTGTTCAACTCCTGCCTCTCTTTCCTCCTGTCCGCTGCCTCTTTCACAGTGTCGGGATGACGGTTCATCGCCCTCATCCTGCTGCCAGTGTACTGGTTCGCATGAACCTCGATCAGGAGCGGAGTATGGGCGTCGGCGTCCCGGTCCTTCAGGAGGTACGCGGCACTGGTGGAGTTCAAAAGCCATTCGGAGACCTTGATGTCGAACTCTGACCTTCGAGGCGAAAACTCTGCCCACTGTGGTCGTCCGACATGCTGTGGCCCCACTCCATGACTGTCGCCATGACTGGATCAAGCCCTGGGAACGTATTCCAGTCGGGCTGATTCACATCACGGTACGATACTCCAAACGTGTCCTCGTACTGCTTGAGAAGCCTGAAGGGATTCGCTGAGACGCGTCTCGCTCGAGGCGCACACAGAACTTCGGGCTTTCGGACCAGGCCTCCAAGAAGTAGTCGAGGAGACTCTGATACATGCCGCCGCGAATGTCGATGGACTCTTGCTTTCTGCCGATGGCCCGGAAGAGCCATGCTGGCATCGCCGCCGGTCAAGTCGACTTGGTAGCGCAGGCAGTCAACGAACATGTTGCCCAACGCATCGTGTGCCAATGCCACCTTCTCGGCTGCAACGTCGTTGTGGAGGTGGAAGCAGCAGACTCTTATGCGGTCGGAGCCGGCACGCTGGCTGCGTCTGCAATTTCGCCACGAATTCCCTGACTCCCCGTTGGCAACGTCATCCCATAGACGATCTCCGCGATCATGTACGTGATCGGGAGGGCCTGACGCGCAAGCCCAGCGAGCACTGAGCCAGCCAGCCGGGTGATGCTGCTGCCGACATTGTTTGTACGACACCCGATGAGAATGTCCTTAGAGGGCCAAGCCCTGTGAAGGGCTGCATTCCCGAACGATGACGACGGTGCCACCCTGGCTTTAGAAGAGAGATTATATACCGAGATGTAGATAAGCCGGATAGAGTCATAGAGTCATAGAGTCAAGTAGAGTCAAGTAGAGTCAAGTACAGTCAAGTACATAGAGTCATAGTGTCATAGACTCATAGAGTCATATAGAGTCAAGTAGAGTCAAGTACAGTCAAGTACATAGAGTCAAGTACATAGAGTCATAGCATACAGTGCATAGAGTCAGAGTCCTGGTAAGTCATCTATGTACTCGACTCTATGTACTTCACTCGATGCATGTCATCTATGTACTCGATTCTATGTCTGTCATCTACGTACTTCTCTCGAGAGCTTCGCACGGAAGAACCCTTGGCGATGCTCTCGGGAATAAAAGGGCCAAAACAAATTGGGTCCCCTCAACCCTATCCACAACGAAACCCATCCCTGTTGGACATAAAAACTTGTTGCCCCGGCTGAAACACAAGGTCCACGAAGCAGCTCGGATTCGCCAGAAACTGTGGCGCGGGCGGCTTTTCCGCCAGAGTGGAGATGCCGGAGCCGTTCCAAACTTCCGCTGCCTCCCATGGCGCTGCGGACCGAAAACACATCTCCCACCGCTTTGACATTGCAACGCAGCCGCGTCTTTTCACTCTGTAGCTGGCGCCAAACTAGCTGAGGTACTCTTGCCCTTGCTTGCCAGACGGAAAACGAGCGGGACACTCCTCCTCTTGCGATGTTATGTCTCCAAAAAGCCTAGCGGGTGACGTCACAATACTCTTAAGGTCCTCAAACATGTGGCTCTGTGTTTCGCAAGTGCCTGCTATTGCCGGAAGATCGACGGCCTCCGCGTTTAGCGAAGGATGCCTGTCGGGCTCTTGCTCCCCATAGCGGCTGCAAGCATCAGAGCAGCGTGGGCCCTGCGGGCAATGCCTGATGATCTCACCAAGAAAGCGGGCGGCATGTGCAGCCAAGTGCTCCACTGCCGCCCGTTGCGCCTGTGTATGCTTTGCAACGACTTCAGAAACCTTGCCGGGCCTGAAGTCGGCCACCGAGAAATTCAGAGCGGCAATGCACCCGTTCAGCAAGAGAAGTGCAATGTCAGCCCCAAAAGCAACAACCTCAGGAACAAAATTCCACACTGCCACAGCAGCAAGCGGAAAAATGTCCCTGTGTCTTCCTTCCGCGTGTCTTGGGGAACGAGGTGTGCAGCGCATGCGACAGTAATCGCTAAAACCAGTGTCGCCATCACAAAGAATTGCAGCAAGGTGGTCTTTGAGTGATTCTTCGCGACTGCTTGGCGCCGGCTTTCGGTTGCGACTATTATCAGCAGCGTAGCCCCTGCACTGGCACTGCGGGCGAGCCAGTGCACGAGCAGCATCGCGCAGCTGCTTGGACGGAGAAGCTCGCTTTGGTGATCCTCCAAACCAAGCGGAGCTCGCACAGTGACCATGAAAGTCAGGATAAGATGTGGTGGGCAGCTTCAGAGGCGGAAACCGATAGCTCCTCAGAAGAAAACCCCGAGAACACCCATTGAGCGCCTGTTCGCAGCATGGCCTTCAATCATCAACAGCTGGGTGCTTGAACACAGACATGTGCCACCAGAAAACCTCAGGTTAACAGCTGCGCGGCAATGCAAACCATCCTGAGTTTGAAATGCTTGAAGGTGTCATCATCCCAATCCCTGGCAGGTTCGCAGCAGAATAGCCACTCATTCTGATGCCTCCACTTGGCCTGCCTTGCTGACGGAAGGGATGCACCGCAAGCGAAAACGAATTCTTTTCTCGCCTGGAATGAGACATGTCTTGCAGAATTTGATAGCACCAGCCATCTGCGCAAACTGGACCAGAAAGTCTGCAAGAATGCCCCAGCGGACCACTGACAACGTCGAGCTGCACTGCAAAAGCCCCAAAAATCCCCAGCAGATGGGTGGGAGAGGGGCCTGTTCGCAGCATGGCCTTCAATCATCACCAACTTGGTGCTTGAGCACAGACATGTGCCACCAGAAAACCTTAGGTTAACAGCTGCGCGGCAAACCATCCTGAGCTTGAAATGCTTGAAAGTGATCATCCTGATCCCTGGCACGTTCGCAGCAGAGTATCCTCTCAAAAACAAAAAACCTAAAGGGAGGTGTTACCTTTTCTTCTATTTCTGACATTTTTCAATTTGTATACTTTTTGTTTTGACCCCCCCTCCCCGCCCCGCGTCCTCCCAGGCACGGATACCAAACACAGAAATACTGACTATAGTGCATCCATACTCTTCCTTCCTACTCTTGCTTTACACACAATACTTCATAGCAAGCAAGACAAAACATGTGGTCTTGCACAGTACTTCAGTACAATGACGGACAATACTTCATGACAAGCAAAACAAACATGCGGTCTGTCAATGAAGCAATGAAAGTAACAGTATTTCAAGACAATAGACACAGCATCTAAGACACCATTGAAATCCACTGTGTGGGAAACTGGGCCCCCGCAGCGTCCCTTTCTGTAAAATCTACTGTTGGCTTCTTAGACATTGTATTATAGTATAGAAAATGTTCTTGTACTAATTCTGTCGTCATTATAATGCATTCCTTGAAAATATGTTGTACGACAATGAAAATTACATTATACTATAATGCATTATCTTGTCATGTTCATTATGTTATGTTATACAACAGTATAGTATAAGATCATATGTTACGTTTGATTTTGTATGTCATGTTTTCGTGTATTATACTGTATTAGACCATATCATAGCATATTTTCTTTTGTTAGGGTGCATTATAAACCATACTATATACGCTTACATTATGGTATATATAGCATGGTGTAGTATAGCATGGTATGTTCTAGCATATTAGTATTACTTCTTATATTAGACTATATTGTATCACATACATTATATCTACAATATTGTAATAGAACTAATAGAATGTACAGAATAAAGAGGATAATTTAAGATGACATAAACTAGTAGAATCTAGCACAACCTAGACTGAAGTCGCATAGTATAGTATCATCTAATGGCTATGTATGTATGTGTATATATATATACATACAATATCATATTCTGACAGGCACGGCATCCAAGCTGGGCGCTTGGAGACCACCCCGTCCTTGCCGCCAGTGCTGACGCTCCGAAGGCCAGCTGCGCAGTTGGCTCCGTCAGCCTCGCACCCGCTGTGACGTGGAGTGCGAATGCGGCCAGCGCCCACACTGTGCACCTAGCGGTAGCGATAATTCCCAGGATCCTGACGGATTCTGTGCCCAGGCCAGGACGGTGAAGGCCGCAGGCAGCGCAGCATTCAAGCATGCCAGGTCACTGCTGCTGAGTTCCTGCTCCTTCAACTTCCGCCAGGAATCAGTCGATACTCTTCCACTGCCGATCCGACGTCCTCCAGCGCTGTCAGGCTCTGCAAGAGCGCCTCGCCAGCCTGCCACCGAGGCCAAAGCACGAGCGCTCTCTCAAAGCTCTCACGCACCCTCTCTTGAAACTCTCTCTCGCAAGTTTTGAGTCTCTAGAAACTCTCATAAGAAATCTTAAACACAATTCTGCCGAGTCTCTACACACAGAGTCACTCTATAGACTATAGAGTCTCTTACCCGTTGCACGGCGCTCTCTTGGGGTCTGCTCGCCTCTGCGGGGAGCCAGCCGTCGAGCAGCGCCGCGGCGTCTCCCAGGATCTGCCCGAAGCGGCTCAAGGAAGCGGAAGCGGCGGAAGCCTGCGAGATCGGAGCTGCGAGATCGGAGCTGCCCTCCTCTCCCGCGCCTCTGCCTCAGCGGCGGGCGGCCACCGTTCCTTCGACTTCCGGAGTCCCATCAGAAGCCATGGCCACGGCACGTGAGCCGTGGGCCCAGACGCTGGAGGCGCATCACGTTGCGGCTGAATTCAATTGGCGTTAGTGTCACTGCGAGAGGGCCTGGCCCAATCGGTGGAATCAGTGTTTCGACATGCCAGGTTACGGCGGCTGCAACAGAACAGGCCAGTCGCGGCTCGTCTCTTGACCAGTACAGCTGACACGGTGAGGTTTTTGTTAATATGTGGCGCGGCTCAGAGGTAGCATGACAATGACGTATCTGTTTCATATTCTCCGCATATTTAATTCTATTTTATTCTGTAACCACTCACCATCATTTACCCTTCCCAGTTCAAATTCAAATCGAGTCCCCTGGCAGGACCGCAGATGTTTATCTCGCTTTTTGCAGAATGCTCCAAAGCACCCCCAAAGCTCCAACCCTCCAGCCCTCCTGACCCAGGTCCAGCAGCCCACTCCAGCGCTCTGTTGCACCAACCCTCCAGCCCTCCCTGACCCTGCAGCCCCCTGCCCCCTGAGCTGCTCTGCAACCTTGTGCAGTGAGATGGCAAGAGTCTTGATTTGGCCAGGCTCGAACCCCGCACCTGTCATTTGCCTCACCCGGAGAATGTTGGCCTCAAAAGGGCGGGGGGCCCGAAAGGCAGCATGGTCGGGTTGGAGCCCGCGGACTTTGCTTTTAGCCAAAAACCAACCCCGCGGCTATGAACATCAGTGCATGTTCTGATTGTGGCCTCTGACAATGCTCGCTGCTGCGCTGCTGTCGAATTCGCAAAACTCAGAAGCAACTTCATTTCTCGGACCTCTGCCGGCCACCGTTGCTCTGGTCCTTCCAAGAACTCCTGAGCAAAGCAGCAAAGAGAAGGTCCGGACGCAGGGCGCAGCCCCGTGCCACCACCGCGCCTTCAAGAGGACGCACTCTTGCACTTCAGCGGTGGCCTGACGGCGCAGAGCGAGCGGAGCAGAGTGGAGCAGAGCGGAGGGCATGTTGGGCCCGGAGAGCCTCGATGCGCCTCACGGGATGTGGGCCCGGGCAGCAGGAGTTCCTGAAGGCCTCTTCAGGCGCCGGAAGGCGAGTGACGAGACCGTCGCGACCTCTTCCTCCCACCCTTCGGCAGCGATTGTTGAAGCTGTCGCCACGGCGCCGGACCTGCAGCGCGGCAGAGCAAAGTGCAGGACAGTACACATCCTACTGCAAGCGGGATGCGACCCCTTGCAGCGTCGCCTTCCTTTCAGCCCATTCTTTGCCCTCCTTTGTGTCATTCCTTTGTAACTCCTGGCACTGAAGCAGTCGGCACTGTCGCTGCGTCGCTGCGTCGCTGCGACCGTGACCCCCTTAAGTTGAGCGCCGGGCATTCTGATTCTTTCCCACCAGGCGGTGAAAGGGACCGTCCCAAGCTGCAGGGAATCTGACAGCGGCTCAGCGCGCGGTGCGTCGTAAAACCCTAGAACCACACCACAGAAGAAGCCGCGGCCCCCGTCCCCCGTCCCCCGGCCCCCGGGTCCCGCCTGCCAGAGCGGAGCGGTCGCAGCACCAGCCGCTGAGCGAAACCCAGGAAGCGCAGCCTCGGAGCAGAGCAGCGACTCACCCGAGCTGAGCAGAGCAGCAGAGCTGAGCAGCAGCAGAAGTGCAGCGGGCGCCGGGGCGAAGTGCGCGCTTCCCCCGACATCTCTGCGCACGGACTGCGGTCTCGCCGAAACGGGGGACTTTTGGGCTGCCGACAGCGTGCTGTCTCGTCGCGGCGCCTGCTTTGGAGTCTCGAACAACACGGCGACCCAGAATCTGAATTTGAGCGAACCGCCGCTGCCACTGGACATTGGGTCAATGCAGGACAGGTCTTGTCTGTTCCCCTTCACGCAGGATCTAAGCCCGCAAAAGCTTTCAAAGGGCTGACTAGGCGATACAGCAGGAACTGAAAGGCGCTGCAGGACCTGAAGACCAAGAATCCTCCACAGTCTTTGTACCAGACTCCAGGGGTCTTTTGGGACTGGCTGCTGCTTCATGCAGTTTGTGCAAAAAAGGTTGCGAGAATCCGAATCCTGGCCGGGGACCAGCTCGCAGATGCAACGTGCGCGCTCGTCCTGCCCTCGTCTACGCCTGTACACGCACCGCTGCTCTTGCTGCTCCTGTCGCTACCCGTCCGTAGGTGGCGTAGGCGTTTTGGCCATCGCCGTGATCGGAATCGGCCACAGTCTTTAATCTTGGGACCAAAGAACATGTCAGGTCCAGACAAACGCTTCCTTCCTCGAATGTGAAACAGCGCATTACCAATTTCTTGCTTGCGCCGATAGTCCATGCCGGACTCGATCGCAAGGCCTACGCTCGGATGCACATGACACACGTCATGAGATGACCCACATCCACGCTGACGGAAAGGGACTCTCGTCAGAGTCGGACCCTGCAGGTACTTGCTGCTGCTTGACATATCGCACTGCCACTAGATAGCGGGTCGACAACCATCGGCGCGCGACACAATTACAGTAGGTGCACTGCGAACCGTTTGCGAATGACATCACCGAATTATTGGATTGAGTCAAAGCCACCACGCCATGCTGCGCAGCGCTGCCTCGTTGAATTCTGGGAAACGGATGCCCAGCACATTGGCATCCTCGCTGGCACCACTTGAGGCTTGCATGGCGCACGACACAACTTGCGGCCTGAAATGTGTGGTCTGCTGGCAGTGACCTGAACTGCAAAGGAGCCTGGGATGTTGTCAGAGGTGGTCCAAGGCTCCCGGCGGCCAGCCATGAGCCCGCAGTACCAGGTTGCACAACACGTGGAACTGAAAGGGAACGAGGCTAGGCGGCTTGACTAGCCCACTAAGCAGAGCGGTGCGAAATCTCGAAAGACGGCCTCCCAGGCATGTCGCTCGGGAAAATAGAAGGTCTGACACCTCAGAACTCGCAACCACTCTCCTCTGGACGGCCTGAGTTTGGCGTGTCTCGCAAGCCGATTCTCTTACAAGAAGAGGTTCAAGCCAGTCAAGTCCTGCAAAGGATGAGAACGAGGGGTGCTTGGATTTTCACAGATCTATGGTCAGCATAAGCGTTGGGATTTTCATGAAGATGCAGGAGTAAAATCGGGAATACCGACACATTTTTCAGGCAGGTCCGAGAACATCGGGCATAGATGAAGGCACATTCGGAAACCCTAAACCCTAAAACCCTGAACCCTAAAACCCCCAAACCCTTTCCTTTGCATTCAGCAGGGGTCAACATAATCCAGTGACACAGGAACGATCAAGACATCGCCATGCATTTTAACATGCCATGTAGATGCACATACGTTTGTAGTCCCCTCCGCCCCTCCCTACCGTTCCCGAAACCTAAGCCCTAAACCCTAATCCCCACACCCTAACCCTTTGCCTTCAGCAGGAGTAAATATCATCCAGTGACACGGGAACGAAGAGAGATATCGCTATGCATTTTAACACGCCATGACAATGCGCGTACATTCGAAGTCCCCTCTCCCCCGCTACCGTTCCGTGTTCACGTATGTTCGAAGTCCCCTCCCCCCCGCTACTGGCCCGCTACCGTTCCCGACCTTTTGCCGTAGGTGTTCCTGAAAACTGCGAGGACCCTGAACATTGCCCCCGCATCTGCTTGAAAAACTCTCCTCTATTCCCGACTCGTGGTTGCCCGATTTCCCAGATTCTGCCCGAAAAGGTTAGCGCTCTGAGAGCTGCATTTGATCGTCCAGTGTGAGGGCCTGCCGAGCCGAGACACAGGGCTCAGCTAGACCGACTACACCGACGCTTACAGGTGCAACGCTTTGGCCAAGGGATCCCCCATCTCGTTTGGTCGAAACCGTGTAGTGCTCTGCTCCTCTGCTCTCCTCCGAAGATGCTTCCAAGCTTTCAGGAATCCTCGGAAGCGTCCGCTCCCTTCGCCCCTCTGGGACCCTCGGCTGTCTGCATTGCGAGAGAAGCGCCAGTCAGGCGAGGGCGAAGCGGCGAAGCCGCGCTCACTGCAGGAAAATCTTGTCGTAGTTGCTTCTCTTTGCTCGTTGAATGCTTTGCGAAAGTGCGGTCTTTGTTGACAACCTTCAAGGCATTCTCCCGTTTTGCCATGGCACATCCCGGTGGGCCATTTCTTCAGGGCTCTGCTGCACTGCAGCTTGGACGGGGAGCTTCACCACAGCTGCCGACGTATGATGCAGCCGTTACTGTGGCAGCCGAACGAGAAGTCTCAGCTACTGCCGTTGGAAATGAGTCAACAGCAGCACCGCTTGCAATCCGACTTCACTCAAGCTCTGCACGACTCTTTGCGATGCTCGGGATGTTCGTCAAAGAACGGACAGTGTGCCACAAGACGACAACCCCGACAAAGTCTTCAACTCGATAGACCCGAGATTGCAAAACATCATGCGTCAATTGTCGACGGATTGGGACCGTCGCATAGAGCGGCTCCCAAGTCCAAATATGAAAGTATCAACACTGCAGGTTCCGTAGACCATGATGTCGCTGTTGAGGGTGACAGATAATGGCAGTTTGCCGAGGAGTACAAAGCAGTGGCGGCACCGTCTGAGTTGGAAAGATGAAGCGTAAAGCAAGGTGATGCACCGATGAGGGCGTGATCTGGAGCACGCTCAGTGCACCATGCGACAGAGACATGCAAAAGAGTGTTGAATGTTTGTGAAGCTAATCTCCGTTGCAGCACCTCGATCAGATTAATTTCAAGCAAGAAGCTAGCCTTAAGATTGCTGAGTACACCGAGCAGCTAAAGGTTGTTGCTCTTCTGATGCGGTCAAGCGGCTCACCCACAAAGCTTTGGTATGGACTGAACTCAAAGCCCGTAGCTCGATGGGCTGTTGGAGTGAGAAATCAGCGAGCATGAAGGCCAAGCAACAGGAGAGACCAAAAGAACTCGACAAAGCACAGGCCAGCCTGTTTGCAGCTCGGACTCTCGAGCCGCAGGGCGTCAAGAAGCAGCAAGATGGATCAGACAAACGCAAAAGCGGCAAGCCAATCAGGGTTCACAAGAACCCAGCCTTAGAAAGTATCTTGAATCAGTTCAAGCGCATCGCCAAGATGTGCAACACTCAAATGAAGGACAGCAGAGGTTCACGAGGACGTGTTCACACAGAAGATCGTACTCCAACGTCTAGATCAACCTCCAGTGTGGCGTCATATCCAGGCGTAGCTCGAAAACCCGTCGAGGCAATGTACTGCTCAAGGAGTTCTAGGCGCAGTGGAGCTTCTGGGTCAAAGCTCCGGGCCGAAGACGGGACACTCAGAGTCGAAGTTCCAGAAGAAGGACAAAGACACAAAGACACCCGCCATCCCCAAGGACAAAGGTCGTGGCAAAGGCAAGCGCATCAGCGCAGATAGTGAAGCTGTTCACGGCTGTGGCAACAGCGGCCTAGGCGGCACAAAGATGGCACATCGATTACTGCAAGTTCGTCCTTGTACAAGCAGGTCGAACAGCTTTGAAAGACCTTCTTGCCAGGGCTTGGTGTGATGCTCAACCGCGACACCGAGTTCAATCACGTGTGTGTCGCGCCCAACTTGGGCACAGGCAAGGAGTTTCTGAAGCAGTGGCCCGGACGCGGCTATGCAATCGTTGGTTGGATGGTCAGAGAAGAAGATGGCTCAGGAATTCAATGCAAGTGGCTCCACACGATGTTTTTCCGTGACAGGTTGCAACTTGCCAAGAGCCGAAATCACAGATCACCACGCAAGCTGGCGGAGGTTTTTTCCCTTACGCTGGCGTTCCCCCGTGTCGTTTGCAACGTTAGCTATTTTTGGTTGCAAAAACTGAAAAAACTGCAGCATTTGCTCTTGTTTTGCATCAATGGGCGAATTACAGTTTGCAGGGTCCTGCTTCGCCCGGGGATGACAATTTCGAGACTCCTGTCTTGTGTCAAGCTGCTTGGCAATTACAATTTGCAGGTCTCGCTTTGCGTGAAACTATTGGAGAATTACAATTTGCATGGTCCTGCTTTGCCCTATAAGATACCGCAGGATTACAATCGTTGACAGTCCGTTCTGGTCTTCGTGCATACCACAGTGTATGCGCTGTCTATGACAGCCGGGGCGATGACATCTTCGTCGTCCTGGCACAAAACTGACGCATGGCTTGGACTCCCTTGTGCGAGTGAAACACCAGCACCAGCACCCGCGCACCCGCTCCCCCCCACCCCTCCACACGCCCCCACACGCCAAAATACGCCCCCACACGCCCGCACCCCCGCATCACCGCCCCCCCACCCCCCACCCCCCGCCCCCGCACACCCCACACCCCAGCAGCCGCACTGCACCCCCACACCCCCGCACCCCAGCCAACACCACCAACAGCAACAACCAGAACCACATCCACAAACGCAACAACAAACGCAACCACCACAGCGACAAGGACAATCACAAATTCAACCACAACCACAACCACAAACGCAACAACATCAACACCAACACCAACACCAACACCGACACCAACACCAACACCAACACCAACACCAACAACAACAACACCACCATTATCACCACCACCACCACCACTACTACCACCATCAGCAACACCAACAGCAGTGCACATGTGTGTGTGTGTGTGTGTGCGGAATGCTACGTCATGTCTGCCCTTTCTCGTTTCCAAGTTCCGAACCATGCTGGTTCACGCATGAGAAGACCTCCTCAGCAAAACAACAGAACGCAGAATATGGATCTTTTGAGACCCCATGATGCACTTGCAAATTGTAACTGCGTAGTAGCTTGACAAAAGGAAGGAACCACGAAATAGCCTGGAACAAAACAGGACCGTGCAAATTGTAATTCCCCAATAGCTCGACACAGAGCAAAACCATGCGAAGTGTAATTGCCCAGAAAAAGCTTGCAAAATGGAATTGCCCAGTAGATGACATAGGACAGTGAAAGCGCGACAGTCCCGAGAGAGAGGCAGCAGCACGACGAGGCACGATGCGAAGAGTCAGAAAAACGTGGCACCGACAGAGCAGTAGCGAATGGTGCATAAGGGATGAGACCCGCCGCTTAGGCACAGGTTTACAGTATATCACCAACTGAAAGCCAGCACGGTCCAGGATGGACCTGGTCCTTGTCGGACAAGGCGGCCAGTCCTTTGGCGTGGTGAGCGATGACCAACACTCTGTCGCCATCGGTCCAGGGATAGGTGCACGAGCCACATGCAGATTCAGAATGGTAAAGGGCAGCTGCACCGAGTAAAAACAACCAGGACCGGATTTAGCGTCCAAGCTCACTGAACCATCTGGGCTGGCAACCCAAACCTGGCCTCCCAGCCAAGGACTCCGCGGAATCAGAAGATTGAAGGTACCAAGCTCACTGGCCCGGTCAACATGTTTGTAATGCATCACATTGCTGAGTAAGGAACAGCTGGACAAATAGTGGCCCGAGCATGCTCCATGAACTAGGGCGGTAAGGAGACGGGTCACCCAAGGGTAATCACGAGTGTTGTTTTGTGTACCTTGCGTACCTCCAGCCGCGAATTCTCCAACTGGAAATGCACTGATCACGTCCCGTCTCACCATGCAACGTTTGCGACGCTTGGCCACGGCTTGACCAGGTAGGAGCGAGCAGAAGTGCCCAAGTGAGCCAACCGTTGCAGGGAGGCGCATGTCCAGCTGCGCACTCATGTGGTAGGGTAGTAGGGTAGGGTAGGGTAGTAGGGTAGGGTGGTAGGTAGTGGAGCTCAAAAGATCACAGGTGGGCCACATCCTCATCCGGGATATTCCACAGATCGCTCCAACTTGGAGGCGTGGGCGACACACGCAGGCTGCTGCTGCTGCTGCTGCTGCTGCTGTTGCTGTTTCTGTTGCTGTTGCGGGTGCCGGTGCCGGTGCGGGTGCTGGTTGGTGTTTTTTGAACACGTATCATACATTTTAAACACGCCCCCTCATCTGGTGATTCCGGTTCAACATACACCTTAAACACGACCCCTCCTTTGGCGTTTCCGGTTCATCATATATCGTGAACATGCCCCCTCATTGTGGTGTTTCCGGTTCGTCATATATCTTCAACACCCCCCGTCAACGAGACCAATTCATCATATATCTTAAACACGTCCCCTCACGTGGCGGTTCCGGTGCATCATATATCCTAAGCCCTAAGCGCCCCCCGCCCGGATTCACCCGATTTCGCAGGACCAGTTCGTCATATATCTTGAACACGCCCCCTCATTTGGCGATCCGGGTTCATCACACATCTTAAACGCGCCCTCTCATAACATATATCTGGAGGCATGTCTCGCATATATCTTAAACACGCCCCCTCATGTGGCGATTCTGGTTCATCAATATCTTAAACCTGTGCCTGTGCTGCCTGTGCCGTGTCTACGAACACTGTCTGAGGCTACTACAAGCAGCATCTAGAAAGTTTCACAAAGAAGATGCCGATTCTGCACATTTGCTAAACCCGCCCCCGACTTGTCACGGGGCCGCTTGTGGCAGCACCGCTGAAAAGAGACCGGAGGGTTGGGGATCCGCAGGACGGGGACCACCCTTTGACCAGAGGACCAGGGACGAGGGGACCATAGGACCAAGCGACCCGGTACCGAGGACGCCACCAGAGCCAACCTAAGGAACAATGTTTACTCCGGGCCCCACCCTAGCTTCAACAACACAAGCTATTTCTCGACAGCAGGCGCACTTTCTCTTGGACAATCTGGATTGCAACAGCGCTCCGAGGTTCAGAGTCAACGTGAAGATTCAAACAATGCCAAATTCTGCTTGTGTAATGCTGGCATCGTTGTGGGCGTCTACCTGCAGCCGATTGTGCACAAGTGTAAACACGTCATACGTGTAGCTGCGGGTACACATGCTCGTGACGGTATGTGTGTTTTTTTGACATCGAAGCACTCTATCCCAGTCTGCAAAGTTGGCCGATGGAACACAGTCCAAAGTCTTTGGATACTTACACGGTTGTTTCAGCTAGCATTTGGCGCCACTATCAAAACAATCCATGCCTCGTGCTCCTCCTGGATTCGCTGTTGCATTGAATTTTAAGGAGGATGACGGTGAGTTGTCACGCCAAGGTATGCACGCAGCCAGTGAAATCGCGAACGTGTACCTCAATGCATTTGATGTTTACCTGATGGACGAACTACGTTCCTGCCTGTTGCAAGCAGTATTTTCGCTGCATCCACGACGGCCTGCTGTGTGTTGCTTCGACCATGACGTCATCTTCGTCGATGACTGATTACGGATGCTGTCAACACATGGAACCCCACACATGGAACCCCAGTACCAGTACTGATCGATTTGTCTCTCTACCGCTACAAATTTCATTGAAATCCTGGATGCTGGAAGTTCGACAGCTGAAGCACTATGCCAAACATACCCGAACGGTTAAACATCTATGGGTACCGTACCTGCCGACAACCAGTTCTCATCATCCGTCTGTGTGTAATTCCATTGTTAGAACTGAAGCTGTTCGTTTATCACGAACCATCAAGTACAAAGATGCGTATGCAGATCAGCTCAGATTCTTCGCAGACAAGTTTGTCAGACGTGGATATTCTTGGTCTTGACTTACAGTGGATCGCAGTCTTCGTTCAGTTTCAACGCTAACGTCCTTAATAGCAAGCCGCGCAAAAGCTGCACGACATTCAGGAAATGTGTCATGAAGTGGCAGTTCTCGAAAAGTATGCCTAGTGTGCCAATCAAATCCTGTTTGTCAGCTCACTGGCATCTGATTGCCAAGCATGCTCCTTCTTTGCAGCCGGTAGTTGCGCACACTGTTAGCCCGAATCTGTTCCGGAAGCTAACAAATGCACATGGGCATGATATTCCACAACTTAAAGGGCCGTTTGTGGAGGGAAGGTGGGGGCCTTTGTTTAAAACAATCCGAAACATGTTCGCATGCACCTGGTGCATGCGTTTGTGACTTCGGTTGCCGACTTGTGCGTAAGGAAGCGGCACAATAAACACTTTTTGGGCACAAGGTTCGACAATCCAGTAAGGCGATTGCTCTCACCGCAGAAGAGTGTGCCGTAGTTGCTTCTTCTCGGGGTTGATTGCTTTACAAGAGTGAGGACTAAGAGACTCTTGACATCCAAAACCTTCGTGGCTTTGCATCGCAGGATATCTCCATTGCAAGAGATGGGACTTCGGGGTCTTGGGGCTTGGTTCCCAAGGTTTGATAATACCCCGTCAGGTCTTACGCATCCAAGCATGTGTCAGCGCCTTGACGTGCCCTCGCAGAAACCTGAGGCTCTTACTGATAAAGATCGGCTCGTGCATAGAGCCTAAAGACGACTACATGCGGGTGTTTCTGTCTCAAAGAAGCAACTGCAAGGGATATTGCAGGTAAGGGCGCAGCAACCTGCGCCGGACAAGGCAGCTGCGAGCATGGCGGCAGATCAACTCCGCTGCCTCTGAGTCTAAGCTTTGGCTCGGTTGACGGAGACCTCAACTGGCCTTCCGCTCTCTCCGCTGCAGACTCCGCTGTAGTCTGCACGCACACTCTCAGCACAGTGTGTTGCGAGAGCCAAGACGTTTAGTGCTGAGACGCCGGCATCCATCTACGAACGCGAGCCTGACGGCACCGAAAACTTGGATTCAGAGAACGAAGCACTCAAATAGCCTGAACAGCGCAAGGTTCACCACTGCCAGCGCGGTGCAACAGTTGGTGCTCAGACGGCTTTGCCGCCAGGCGGACCGTGCTTCGACTGCCTTCATGCAGTTCTCCACACGGAGGTTGCACCAAGTCAATTAAGAGAGCCTCCTCCTACGATCATTCCTCCTCCAAGACTTCCAAGACTCTGAGATCTTGCAGCGCCTTTGGCATCTCGCAAGATTGACTAAGCGTTTTTTGGACCTCGTTTAAGAGGAAGCGCTTGAGGATCTGTTCCTGAGGAAAGCAGCTAAGGAGCGTACAGTCTCATTCTGAAGCCTCCTGGCTCCAAGGCCCTGGCCTCGTGCTTGCCATGGCAGATGTCCTCTTCGCACTCGGACTCGCCATCCATCAAGGCCATGAAGGTGCCATCCGTCCGCAGCCGGACGGAGACCTCGGCGACTCAGACAGGCGCCCTGCAAAAGCAGCGCCGAGCTCCGCCGAGCTCCGCTGAGCTCCGCTGCATGCGAGAGCACGGAAGCGCTCCCAGCACGCACGGCGCTCAAGACGAAGGCCCTGCTGCGGAGCGGAGAGCGGAGCCACCGCACTGAGGCGTAGCCTACGCCCTACACTGCTTCGAGAGTCTCAACGCACTGACGAAGTAAACTCAACCTAGGCAGTACAACCGGAATAGGATATCTAAGTTATATAGAACATACCTTGCCTATTTTCGGCGATTGGCACCACACACCCCAAAAAGATAAATATCTATAATATCAATCCCAAGAAATTATTGTATTCCCAGGCAATGCGGCCCGGCTTGACTTAGACACACCAAGTCACCAAGTCCGGGGAGACGATTTGTTACTGTCGAACTCCACATACCAGTAATTTCCCAACTGCTGTCCGCAGGATGGGCTCACAGGCACGTGGACTGAGTAAAAGGATCCCCGGGGAGGGCATTCTTGATTATTTGCCGGCTGCACTTTTTGTGTGGCAGCGAAGGTCCGATTTGTGGGCTTCCGGACTTCAGTGATCTCCGTCGAGGGTTTTCTGTTTGGGGTCGGTCCGGTTTCCTTGAGCCGAGCCACCATGGATGATTTTGAGTTCCACGGTTCCGTGGGCCTAGAGTGGGAGCGAGTGGACGACGGAAGTGGAGATGAGAGGTCTTCGACAACAACTGTGATGGGCGCAGGAGCGACAGGGAGACAGTGGACACCAACAATGGATGGGTCATTGGAGGCGTGCGCTGTGATGGGGACTCCCATGCGCCCTCGACCGGAGATGCGGTCGTGGGCCCAGGCGCCGGCCTGGGAAGAAGACAATGACTACTGGTCCTCGTCGCAGGGCTGGTCGAGATCATGGCACAGTTGGTACGAGGACCCTTGGGCGTCTTACTTAGACTCCCGCCGACCGGGCTGGCGCAGAGAAGATCGAGGGGCTCGGGGCTAGGCGACAGCGAGTTGCCACCGGGCACGGATGTGCCGCTCCCGAGGTTGCTGTCCAGAGATAAGAACAAGCGAGACACCCCGAGCCACAGTCGAGCCCAATTACGTGATGTGAGTGGTGCCGTGGAGGCGCGAGGTCTACTACCTGATCCTCCGCAAGTCCGAGGAGTTCCGGCGAGCGACGGTGCACACGGACTCCGACCAGAACTTCTTCCTCTTCGGCACGATCCTCCGCAAGATCTAGGTACAGCTGTAGTAGAGACCCGTGGCAAAGAGTCCTTGACGCAGGGTGGCCCTTCAGTTCGTCATCAGGCAGAGGACAGTCGTCCGGGGTGCAAGGTGGCGAAGGCGGAACGAGCGCTGCAGGAGGTCAAGGCTATCTTCGTCTGCACAGCTCCTTTCCCCTGAATTTCGAGCACGTCCGGGCGAGTCTTGGAAGGCCTACTGGAGGGCCGTGGAGTTTTGGCTGGCTTCGGAGGGAGTGAACTTACCTCCGGAGGTGCGAAGTTCCCGTTTGATGCAGCAGCTGCGGGCGGCGAAGATTGTGAACCACCTCTCTGTCTCGGATGTGGCCTGCGAGGACGGGGTGACGATCATCCGCAGGGAGATGGAGAAGTCGCCGATCATCAAGCTGCTCTAGCACAAGGAGGTGGACCGAAAAAGGCAAAAAATTATGCGCCTCTCGAGGTACGCGGGTGAGTCTTTGGAAAGCTTCATCAACAGGGCTTCGATCTATAGGCACGAGAACGACCAGTGTCAGAACTACAAGGTTGGCTCGAAGTTCTACTTGGGGCACTTACTTGACGCCGCGAAGCTGACGAAGAAGGACGAGGCCTTGGTGAAGACGGCGGCAGGGGGGCTTCACGAAGAAGGTCGAGTGGTCAGTGCCCTTCTCGAACTCTCGGAACAGCAACCGGGCTGGCCAATCGGCCGAGGGGAGCCCGACTTTCCGGATGAAGATGAGTTCCTTGTCCAGAAGAATCGCCATAAGGAGCATCGCGACCGGGCCAACGAGGACGGCAAGGCGGGCAAGGAACACCATCGGCATCGCGGCTACAATGGCGCTTCACCCGCGGGAACCTGAAGGGCAAGTTCAAGCGCTTCAAGCAGGTGTTCCACGCCGTCCTGGAGGACGACAGCGATGCTACTTCGTCTGCCGAGGCAATGAAGGCGGTCCGAGCCCTGATGATGATGACCAGGACGGGACATTGTCGTCTCGAGAGAGTCAGGAAGGCGATGGTCAAGCTCCTGCCGAGATCTTCGCTCAGGAGCACCGTGCAAAGAAAAAGGTAAATGAGCTGAAGCAGATGAGGCAGTTCACGTCCAATGATCGGACCCGAGCTTGGGTGAAGGAGCAGCAGAAGACCGAGCCCTGCTTCTTGTGCCTGAAGCTCGGACATCAGTCGCAAGAGTGTCCTTTGAGGAAGAAGCAGCCCCAAGGGTCGTCTTCCTCCCACCAGGTTCATGTTACGGCGGGTCCCAGCAAGCTGGATCCTGGACAATGGGAGTTGCTGCAGTCCATTGCGGAATACACGAGGGAGGGCGACCGGGTCAGTGTTGCACCACCGCCGCATCCTTGCCTAATCAACACTCCGAGTCAACACACCATGTCGGAGCATGAGGTTTGCTGGTCCATGCGGGAATCGCACAGCAGTCTGATTTTGGACTTAAGGTGTATGCGGTCGGTGGCGGGAACCAAATGGGTCAATCAGCATATTCGACACCTGAAGGCGCTAGGTCGTTGGATGAAGGCGGTCAAGGAGGGTGAGAGCTTCAGGTTCGGGGATGGTCATGAGCTGCGAAGTTCTTTTTCGTTTATCTTTGAGGCCACAGTCCTGGGAGTGCAGGTGATCCTTCGTGTCAGTGTGGTCCCGGGAGATTGTCCGCATTTATTGTCGAAACCGGCATGTTCACAACTTGGCTTTGCAATCGACACGGAGAATCACACGGTGTCCTCGAAGAAGCTAGGTTTTGTCAAGCATGGATTGGCCGAAACGTATGGCGGCCACTATGCAGTTCCAATTGCCGAGTTCCATGAAACCATGCCGGAGACCTCGGATCCTCCCGTTCCCGAACATCTTGAAGCTATCCCGGTCTATGTCAACGAGTCGTTCAGGGACACCCCCTTGGTGGAAGGTAGTGCTAGTCTTCCAACGGGTTTGCGCTCATGGACCAGGCAGGATAGAGGTGTAATGAACACCGTCGGGCCGAGAAAGAGTGGACCTCCTTGGAACACGGTGGTACGTCGGACTATCTACCACACCCAGTCTGGGAAGCAGTTGCTTGATGAGTCTGTCGATGCTGAGACCCGAATCAGGAGACCCCGGCCCCAGCCTATGGACACTATGACGATCTTCATGTTCCGCGCAAACTGACCTCTCAAGCGGCTTAGCTGGAGACTCCAGCTCAATCGGAGTTCCCGAAAGCATCGCGAAGGGTTCTTCCGTGCGGAGGCGGGTAGATAAGTACATAGATTACAGACATAGAATCGAGTACATGACTTGATGACTTGACACTTGACTCTACGATTATGACTTCCTTAATTGACTCTATACCTTACTTGACTCTATACCTTTGAGAACTTGACTCTATGACTTGTTGACTTACTCTGTGATTTACTCTCTCCACTATGACTCTGTGACTTACTCTGTGATTTACTCTCTCCACTATGACTCTGTGACTTACTCTGTGATTTACTCTCTCTACTGATTTACTCTCTCTACTCTACATGACTTACTCTCTACATCTCGGTATCTAATCTCTCTTCTAAAGCCAGGGGTGGCACCGTCGGCATCCATCGGGAATGCAACCCTTCACAGGGATTGGCCTCCTCGAGCGCTCAAACGCTAAGTAAAGTTACACATTTTAGGCGCCCCGCGCAACCCTTCACAGGGATTGGCCTCCTCGAGCGCTCAAACGCTAGGTAAAGTTACGCATTTTAGGGTTCCCGTGCAACCCTTCACAGGGATTGGCCTCCTCACACAATTTAGGGTTCCCGCGCAACCCTTCACACGGATTGGCATGGCCGAGCGCCCAAACGCTAGGTAAAGTTACTAACTCAACAGGCGCCGTGGCGCAACCCTTTACAGGGATTGGCCTCCGATCGAGCGCCCAAACGCTAAGTACGGTTACACATTTTAGGCGCCCCGCGCAACCCTTCACAGGGATTGGCCTGGTCGCGCATTGAAACGCTAGGTAAAGTTACACATTTTAGGCGCCCCGCGCAACCCTTAATTCACAGGGATTGGCCTGGTCGAGCGCCCAAACGCTAGATAAAATTACACATTTTGCGGTTCCCGTGCAACTGGCAAGAGTGAGACCCCAGGACATATCGAAACGGGCGTTCGTGATCTACACCTATCACCCGTCCTCCTGGGTCAGCCTCTACCGTGGATCGACGCAGCAGACTAAGATGCTTTGCTCGGGTGGGCCAAGCAGAAGTGTCCGACAGCCCCCCCCCAAAAAAAAATAGATAGATAGATATATATATATATATATATATATATATATATCGATATCGCCTGTCCGCTTCTA